ATGACTTTGGATTGTATCTTTTCTTCACCCCGTCGCCAATTGTTATAACGTGAAAATGATGCTGCTGATTAAGGGTAGGGAATTATTGATCGGACCAAAGACGCACAAACACGTAGAACGACCTAGGGTTCTGATTGGTCTCGCTTCCCTATCTAACCCAGCCAGTTGAGTCCAGAACACAAGTGACAGCTTCGGAGATATGAATCATTGTATTTCAAACATACTTTGTTTATATACCAGTCAAGCAGACCACAACGTCCCATAAAATAGAAAATAACATTGTACAATAATGGCCAGTAGGAAAATAACACGTTAAACAAATATTCACCAATAAGATGATACCATTTCATGTCCAAGGATAACATTAGGCTTAACAGGATAATTCTTGGGATATTTTCCTGAATATCCCAACACCTCCCTTTTTTGGAGATCCGGAGTTGATGTCCGGATTTTAAATTTTTTTCCGCGTCCATCCTCCCCCGCGAAATAATGTTGGGTCTTCATAAACCCAAATTACAATTAATTTGATTGTATTTAAAACATATTGCACAGGGAATCCAGTAAAATCGATCAGATATTGAGGATAAACGCCATCCAATTCGAAGTCATCAGGGTTTAAATCTTTAGTAAGTAGTGGATCATTATGATAATCGGCGTCCAACAAAACTGTGCCAGGTTCTTGGTTATTATTTGATGCGTGGAACACATTTTCTGGCAAAACAATGAGATCTTCTCGTGAGCTGGATATGTTACTGTCTGCACATGCTGTTTCGGGGATGATAGAGTTTGACTCCATTACCGGGCATGTTTCTGGAATAGAAAGTACTGGACCACTGGGCGCATCATGGATGACTGTTTCGTTTGAAGTACAGTTCATCGAGGATTCATGGAGGCTGCTGTCATTTTCCAGCTCACTGTGTATTTCAGATATCAATCCATCCACTTCCGTCGCGTCTTCATAGCATGAGTGATTTAGCAGCTGCGTGCGGAATTTGACTAATAAGTCCAAATGTCGTTCAAAGAGCAGTTGTAATCGATCGGAAGGGAGAGTCATTTTTTTGAATCATCACCTGTGATGAAAATTACCGTATGACTAATGTCCAATGTGGTTCAAGGACACTGAGGACAATCTGGATACTGATTGGTCGAATAATCAAACTGGATTTCGTCCAATTACAGAATGACTTTGGATTGTATCTTTTCTTCACCCCGTCGCCAATTGTTATAACGTGAAAATGATGCTGCTGATTAAGGGTAGGGAATTATTGATCGGACCAAAGACGCACAAACACGTAGAACGACCTAGGGTTCTGATTGGTCTCGCTTCCCTATCTAACCCAGCCAGTTGAGTCCAGAACACAAGTGACAGCTTCGGAGATATGAATCATTGTATTTCAAACATACTTTGTTTATATACCAGTCAAGCAGACCACAACGTCCCATAAAATAGAAAATAACATTGTACAATAATGGCCAGTAGGAAAATGACACGTTAAACAAATATTCACCAATAAGATGATACCATTTCATGTCCAAGGATAACATTAGGCTTAACAGGATAATTCTTGGGATATTTTCCTGAATATCCCAACAGAAATATATATAAATTCAAGGGTAATAATGCCACATCACACTACACTATAATACATGTAAACTAATTTTAGAACTGAACGTATTGAAGTCGAACTTAGTATATTCATCCCAGTTGAAAAGTTTATCATAACACCAGTTAACTATAGGATTGCACAGACAAATAATTTGTTCGAGTTCAATATATTTAAAATACATTTGGTATATATATATATATATATATATATATATATATATATATATATATATATATATATATATATATATATATTACCATACCGATTATACAATGGTGACTATCGAGACTCAATAATCCGCTGGATAATATCACATATGAAGGGGTGGGTACTAGGAATACCAACAACGCGACACAGGTACATCGGGCTAACTAGCCACGAAAATAACGAAATGTGTCTACTATATTTTATCGACATTCATTATCTGAAATGCCCTGGTACAGACGAGAGTGAAGACAGTCTGCTCTCACATGGCCACGCGTATACAGCCACTACCAGGGAAGTCCTACTCACTACCTTCTCATAGTGGGGTTGTTGTCTACGAAATTGAGAGAACGAAAAGCAAATGTCCGGCACTTTAACCGGCTCCGTGGATATGGAGGATCTACCTAGGGAAGTTGAAAAACCCTAATTCCAAACCAATGAGGCATAGGGCTCTAGGGTCCTAAGGAAACAAATGGCGTATGAACCTATCGTTGATCACCGTTTACTATGGGACTGTATCTCCTTATGTTGTTCCACTGTTTTGTGGATCAGACCTTTAGGTCAAAGGCTCGGGGTGTGGCCCCCTAAGAAAATTACCTGCTTCGGTCTGGGCACCCGAGCAGTATCACAGACCTCACACAAATCGAATGATTTCTGTGGCGCATATATATTTGGTGCTTCCTTGTACCAATGTTTGTGTGTTTAAACAAATATATAAAATAAACAACTTTAAATGCAATCAATATCAAGTCATCCATTTAAGGAAATCATAAGCTAGCGGGGACATCAATTCAGCCCTGAATATCAATCAAACGATAAATAAAAACACTTCAATTAATACTCAGTCAGTCAGCCTCTATCGACAATGCACTTGGTACAAGTGTACATTGATTCAAAGCAAGAGGAAATGAACAAGATGAGGATAGGATAGAATATAATATCGAAAGTAGTCAAAATCTAAAAATAAGGAGTACAAATACAATCGGAAAATAGGAACGTATGAATGATAATTAGCCGGAAATCTAAAACATTCAGCATGAATACCCTTTTGCTACTCCAAATGATTTCGCACTATCACCTACGCCGCAAACCATTGCTAACGGGTATTCTGTAGGTTACAACGAGGAATAATTTATCTCACGACATGGTTCATACCGACAGTCCATGACTTCATAGACCTAGGATATGCTTTAATTGGGCCACTCCTAACTATTTATCATATACTCCCATGTAAGAGAAACATTGGATGTCAAGGTACGGAGTAGTTAAACATCCGAAACCCATGTCCTAACCACTTCAGTCAATAAAAGTCTACAGTCTCATTTACGAATTTGAGTTTTTCTTTGCCGATCATTATTAACCAAACCTCAGAAAAACTCACTCGGTGGATCCGCGATACGCCAATAACGCTTCTAAGTGTTTCTAAAGGATTAAATATCAGGAGAATATCTCATAAAACTACTAATTCGTATAACATAAAACTAGAAAAACTGTCTAACCACAAACGTTTTCGATAAAAGTATTAGGAATTATAACAGTTATTCAGCTATCATGAAAATATATATCTCAACAACTACGTCCAGTTTTATGTGCTGCACTACGAACTTTGACCAGCAGTGTTATATCTCAAGAAGACTAGGTGAATGGTAACTTCCAGGAATTATTTATAGACTATTATATAGATAAATATATCCTTTCATCATAAGCTTTTATTTGACCCATTAACTATTATTATACGAATTTGTAGGCATAATTACCAAGGTTTGACTTGATAATTTCGAATAAATTGAGCATTGGGTAGATTGTTATAAATAAATTAATATATTTGTAATATCTCAGTGAGTAGAAAAATTAAATTTTCTGACGTTTCGTGACTCAGTGTAAGCCATTTGTTCGGAGAATAAATAACCAAATCAAAATTAATCCAAGTTTCAATCATACAAAGGAACAACGCAAGTATAATATTTAACCCGCTAACATCTACAGTCTCCCTTAATCACAGACACTTTTGACTTGATCTTGTATAATTGTCATTTCCCATTTTATGGTGCTATGTGGTTGGGTATCGCTGAATATAATCTACATATGCTTGAAATATATTGTTCGTATAGAGGAGGCTGATTGTTGTGTTCTTAAGGAGGAGAGCAAGGAGGAAAGCTACTGTATTGAGGACCAATAAGGGTTTGAAGTTGACTCAAGGTTACTAGTGCTGATTGACGTGACGTCGGTTAGCTCAGGGACAAGGTCACAGAAATCGATACTCTGAGTGGTGGTTTGTCACGTGATATTAGACAGGGCCATAAGTTAGAACAAGTATACTGACCAATGAGTGCTACTCAGTAAGCGAATCAATTTTAAAAACTGTAACTCACAGGTGGAATACCTGAATAAATTGGCTACAACATTACAATGAAAATTAATAATCATGGTAGTGAGATGGTGGAGAAGATTTGTAGCTCAGGTGGATGATTTTGATGGAGTTTTGTTCTCTGAGCTGGATGGTTTGGTCGTGGAGCTTTCATCGTTCTTCTGAACGACATCATCAGCACAAACTTCAGATAGAAGTGAATAAATATGGGAACAAAAATCAAACCAATGGGAGACACAACCAAAACAAAGAAGTAAACAATGATAAATTTAAGGTCAACAAGAACCAATCAACATCGAGGTGCACAGAACAAGCTGTGAAACACATATGGAGAAATTCGAACACTTCACTTCTATCTGAAGTTTGTGCTGATGATGTCGTTCAGAAGAACGATGAAAGCTCCACGACCAAACCATCCAGCTCAGAGAACAAAACTCCATCAAAATCATGGTAGTATTGACAACAATTTCAGTAAAGCACTATTAATAAGTACGGAAGTTTATTTTTAAGGGATATATATTGTATGGTACAAAGAGAATTATGAACTATCTTCAGCTAGATAAACGTGAAATATCTGGGTAATAGTAGATAGTTAATCAACTTTTGTATTCTATACGTTTTATCTAACATTTACATTAAACTTGAAAAAATATTGAATCCAAGTTCATAAGTGGTAGGAAGTATTTTTGTTTCTAAAAAAGTAATCGCTGTGAATATAGGTGCAAAGACCAAGAGAGTCGGCAAAATTAATAATTTCAGAATTAACTCAATCCTCTCCCTCTGAAAAAAATATTCAGTCAAGAAACAAATATATCGCTTACTTCAATAAATTTAGCACCACAATTTAAGGCAAATGAAGCAGCATGCACAAATTGTTCGTGTCGACAGGGATCCTGTAGTTGTACACCAGATAGTTCAAAATCAGCTACAAATAAATCGAGTACACGCCTATCAACATTATCCATATGTGTATCTGGAATTAATTTATCCACTTGAGATGAACTACTTGCACGAACAGAGGCATTATATAAGTTTGAATTAGTATTCAATTCTTCAACAAGTTGACCAATTGACTGGCATGCTTTCAGTGCAGAATAGCGATATGCTTGATCTGGATGAAGCATTCGTATACAATCAGATAAATCAGCAACTCGACACAATGTATCGGATAGATCGTCTAATATCTGTGATAAATAGATGAATTAAGTTAAAGTATTGAAATTAGGTCTAGCAATAGTAATACATGAATGAGTGGGGTATAATAGTATACTTGTGGCGCATCCTACTTCTGCTGACAGATATAAGTAATATGTAGCAGCAATCGGAAGTAGAACGCCTGCTAAAAGATTAAATTGAAGAGAACAGGAAGGGTAACAGAAAGCAATTGGAGTGACAATGGAATTGAAAGAATCATGAAATACGTAAAGGACAACTGATGGAAGATGTGAAAATGATGTATTTAATGTATGCTTTTTATATTTTACGAAGGCACTCTGTAACTTTGAATTAAACCATAGACTGGTTTTCCCCAAGGTTTTCGTTCACTACATTGCACATGTGAATCTTTTTGGATAATTAGGAAAATAATATTCAAATAGACGCAAACACAGAAAAAATACGGTGAAGTATGTACTTAGAGGCTTAAATTGAACAATGTCTGATGCACCTAGGCATTGGTCAATTAACATAAAACAAAGAATTGATTAACCTAATTAACGACAATTTGAGATAGTATGGAAGAGGAATTTCACAAGAGCAGAAAACATTTATTTGAACAAAAGGTCAGAAAATGTGCAAGAACTAAATAAATAATCAATATCTGTTTAAGGTTGAAAATATAATGAAGCACATATACATATGAACTTTGGAAATTAGTGTCGTTTTTTAGTGTTTATGCTCAAAACTCCTCTCTATTTTATTCTATTTTGATTAACAACAGACATCAGGGTTTGATGTGATTCAATAAATGCAGTGAATATCTCGACCATGTAAATTCTTCTAAAGAAAGGGGGAGCAATTACTTATACTCCAGTTTTCATTAAAGGACCATAATAATCCGTATAAGTTTACTCACAAACTTCCAATGAGTATTTTGAGTGCTATAGTTGTTTCAAATTATAACATAATGCTTAGTCTCTTAGTCGAAGACAATGAATGAATAAAAATAAGTGAATGCAAGTAGTTAGTTGTGGTAGAAAGTTTAGTTGATAAAATACAAACAGAAAGAATTCTTTGAGTTAAGGAAGTTGCTCTCACATTTATGAAAAGAAAACTATAGAAGGACTGTTACTGGCTTCCTAGTTACATGCCCAAGACACTAAAGCTGGTATTCCAGGATCGTGACACCAGCTGAATTATTGACACTGAAATCGAACTCACGTTGCTGGATCTTCGGATTACCAACAACGTGCTATCACTGAATGTCAACGTGACAACGAAAATCAAACTCAGAGATTCGCTTGACACCATTAACTCGGAAAGGTCAGGTTTAAAAAACAGATAGCAAATCTGTTTTCACCAAACTTTTACAGCCTAACTAACATCAAGAAGGCACCACAGATGGCCTGAATTGGCATAAGCCAGTCTAACTTTCACTATAAGTAAATTGATTTAATCACTCACTCCACCAACAGCCCTTATACAACTACCCAGACACGCAAACTCGATTACTTCAAACTGCTCACTACCAAGAGCGAATGCATGCACAGGCTCTTGAGAGTCTTTTAAAGGTGCTTTGCACCCGGAAGGTGCCATACCTATGGACTCTGGTTAGAAACTGATTAAATGTGGACTGTATGGCCTGAAAACTCCGCCTGTAGTTCTTCTAGGTTACTGTCGGTCCCAATCCCACACAAAGGAGGAGGGTTGGGCATAAAGTCAGTAACCCCACCCCGTAGAAAACAACCTTTCTAGAAAAACGCTAACGAGAAAAAGAAATTTGGAAACGGAAAAGAGAAAGACCAAAGAACACACTGAGTCGGAAATTGGAAGCAGATATAAAAAGAATGAACGGCAACTGAAAACAACTGACCAGGACAGAGTTTGGTGAAGAACGCTGGTGGGCAACCCACGTAAGTAAGTATGACCTGAAGATCATCACACAATGAGACATCATCTCCAAATGTTTGGATGTTAGGTTTGCTATTTGACACGGAAACTACCTAAACATAGCCCGAGTGACAACTACTATATTTTTGACGAAAGCGTTATAAAAATTATGTCAAATGTTATTTATTTCGGTCTTCCTTTTGGATTCTCTAACTTATCCCGTACTTTTGACAACACCAACAAGTGGTTTTCGTCAAATTTATTAAGTGATGAGACCATTTCGCCATGGCTTGACATTTGCTTTTGGTTAGTATCTAATCCCTTACATTGTCCTTTAGTTTTTCCAGGACTTTTGAGAAATGATTGTAAGTTGTGTAAAACCTTGAAAGCTGCTAGTCAGTCAGTCAGTCAGTCAGCTACAACGTAGGACCAGGCACATGTATGCATCGGCCCAGGTTGCCATACCTCATTAGCACAGCAAGATGAACACCGGATTCATAGGAGTGGTTAGGTCAAAGGTGGTAATATATAGGAGAAAGATTGCAATAAGGATATAGTATAGGAAGAAAGAATTAGTTCGTAGAAAGAAAGATGTGAAGTGATCTTAATCTCTTAGTTTAAGAGAAGACAGAGAGTGTATACACCGACGCCATTGTGATCGATTCTGAGCCATGTCACCAAGGGTCTCCAACCATTGGTTACGAAAGTCACGCGGACCCCAACCAAGTAGTCTGCATCTACCAACATGGCTCAGACTAGAAGTTAGTGACTTCAGGCACTGATGCCACGTTTTGGTTTGGCCGCCCCTAACTTTCTTCCAACCATCCCCTACACCGGTTAGCATTGCACGTCGCGGTAATCGGTGTTCAGGCATACGTAATACGTGGCCCAACCATCTCAGTCGATGAAGATTCATAACCTCATCAACTGATTTACCATCATTCCCTAATACCCTGCGTCTAACCTCACTATTACTTACCCGGTGATCCCAGCAGATGCCAGCAATATTTCTAAGGCATCTGTGGTCAAATACTAGTAGCTTACGGGTGTCTTCTACTCTTAAGGGCCATGTTTCGCTGCCGTAAATTAAAACAGAACGGACAGCCGCGCAGTATACTCGTCCTTTTATTGATAGACGGATATCTCGCCTCCGCCAAAGGTGACGTAAGTTGGCAAAAGCCAAACGAGCTTTACGAATCCGTGCTGAGATTTCGTCAGACACCAACCCATTAGGGCTGATCAGACTTCCAAGATAAGTGAAGTTGTCAACGCGTTCGACTACTTCACTCCCTATCCTTAGTTCAGGTGTTGACGCAGACCAGTCCTGAAGCAACAACTTGCATTTAGAGGGAGAGAAGCGCATCCCAAACATTCTGGCATTGTTGCTTAGTGCTACCAGAAGACTCTGCATTTTGTCAGCGTCTTCACCAAACAGGACTATGTCATCTGCATATTCTAAGTCGATAAGTGGACCTCCTGGAAGGAGATCAATACCCGAGAATTCAGTCGACGAGAGTGTTATTTCCATCAATAGGTCTATGATGAAGTTAAACAAAAATGGAGAAAGTGGGCAGCCTTGACGGACACCACTTGAGGTTGCAAAAGTAGATGACAGTTCGCCATAAGCCCTGACTCGACTAGTAGTGTTCGAGTAAAGAGCCTTCACAAGGTTTATGTACTTCTGAGGTACGCCTTTCAATGACAGACACTGCCACAGAGTCTCGCGGTCTACAGAGTCAAATGCTGCTTTTAAGTCAAGAAAGACCACCATCGTCGGACGCCGATAGGTATGCCTGTGTTCTAGAACCTGACGAATGGTGAATATGTGGTCGATGCAGCCACGACCAGGTCTAAAGCCAGCTTGGTTCTCTCGTGTTTGTAGTTCACGAGTCTTAGTTAGGCGTTTGATAATTATCGAGGCCAGTATTTTAGATACTATGTTTGTTAAACTAATCCCTCTGTGGTTGTCACAGGATGATTTTGACCCTTTCTTATATATTGGGACGATAAGTGATTGCGACCAGTCAGATGGGATAACGTCTAACTCCCAGATTTTAGCTAAAATATTAGTCAACCTAATCGCTAAAATTGGACCACCATCCTTAAAGACTTCTGGAGCCAGTCCATCTGGACCAGCTGCCCTTCCTCGTTTCAGATTAACTATAGCCTTCTCAACTTCAGCAAGAGTTGGGGGACCTACTTCAATGTTCCATTCACTTTGTCTGGGAATGGAGGGTAGTTGTAGAGTAGCTGAAGGCCAGCTGAACTGTTCTCTAAAATGTTCCGCCCATCGTTCTAAACGTCTGGACTGGGAGCAGATGAGAGTATCATCTTTTTCCGAAATAATCTCACTTACACTTGACTTATTAATTCCAGTTTCTTTTATTAGTCTGTAAAGCTGTCTTGTGTTCCCTATAGTCGCCGCCTTTTCCATCTCTTTTGCTTTCGTTACCCACCACTGCTCACGGTCGTTCCTTAGACTTTTTCTTAACCTAGATCTGATTTGTTTACGCTCTTCATCATGTTCAGAACCTGATGGGACGAGTTTGCGAGAATCCATCAGTGTGACAGACCTTGAAGAAATCCACTGGTTCCTTGTAACTCTGTGGTTTAAGTCACTAATAGATGTCACTGCTGTTTCCACAGCTGCTTGTATGCCCTTCCAAGCAACATCTGGGTCAGCCTCGTCTTCACAACTACCTAAGTGTGACCTCAGTTGTTCCTGGAACCTACTTTTGGTTTTCTCGTTACTCAACTCAGTTCTAATGGGTCTTTTTAATGTGGCTTTTTTGCGTCCAGTGAGGCGCAAGCAGATGCGTGCCCGTATTAGGGCATGGTCGGAGTCCAAGCAGGTACTCCAGAATGAGCGACAATCTTCTACCGACCCTCTCCAACGATGACTGATGGCAATATGGTCTATTTGAGTCCATCGTTGGTTTGGTGTAGGGGGTCGCCATGTTAGACGATGTCTCTCCTTATGCTTAAAATTTGTGTTTGCTAAAAATAAACGATTGTCTGAGCATAGCTGCAGCAGACGATCACCATTATCTGTTCGCTGTGTCGGAATACTAAAATATCCACCTAAATGCCTTTCTGTTTGGTTTAAACTGCCTATCTGAGCATTAAAATCACCTGCTACGAGTACTATGTCTGAGCGTTTAGCTTTCTGAAGAAGTTCGGATAGCTTTCTGTAAAATTCATCTTTCACTTCATCTGAGCTGCAGTCAGTGGGAGCGTAGGCAGAAACGACAAAAAGGCAACGACGTGTGTCCCTATCCTTCCGAGTTCTTACGTAGCCGTTCAGCCGAACAGCACATAGACGACTGTTGACGGGGATCCACTCTAGCAGTGCTTGTTCGGCCCTTATGCTTAGTGCTATGCCTACACCTGCCAGTCCACGAGAACTTGCCATCGGGTCACCAGACACACGAAGGGTGTATCTCGTTGGCTCTCCGTCTTGCCGAGGTGAGGTCAAGTGAATGACCACACTGGAATCCTGTATGCGTGTTTCGGAGACACAGCATACATCAATGGAAAGAGACTCTAGGGTTTTAGCCAAGGAAGCCTGCTGACCGATTTGACATAGGGTGCGTACGTTGAAGGCTCCAATGTGTAGTTTGGAGCGAGGTTTCAGTAGACCTGGGACAGTGTTTTGCGCACTAGAATCGTTGGCTACGGTGACACTTGAGGTGGAAGCCGAGAGAGGAAATAGAGTTGAAAGTCGATGTAGGAGGAATAATAGGAATTGAAGAGGAGGTTGATTATGAATACAGTGGACTTGAGTGCTGTTAGAAGTATGAGGGCGGTTATCACTTCCCGGTTGCCCACACCGTGGAAGGGTTGTTCTGGAGGTACCTGAAAAGGAAATTGGATTAAAGGTGGTCTTAGTGAACTGAGAGCGTGACCGCAGTGCCCAAGGGACAACTGCTTGAGGTCGGTCACACACGACCTTGTTATGGGTAATTTTTGTGTTAGCTCCGTACTTATTGAGACCTTACCGCCGGAGACGGATATCCGTGGGATAAGGCGAGGTGTGCATTTTTAGGGTCGACCTTTTCTAACCCCACCCCTCCTTGTGGGAAGGCAGCATCGCTGTCATGCTGGTTGTCTGAAGGAAACACCTTACTGCTGTTAGGAGAGCTACTAGGAGAGCTATTATCGTATCTTTTGATTACATTATGATTATAAATAGTCATTAGAAACCTTGCGAACAATATTTTAACAAATAAAAACCATCAGTTACATGTACAATGTTGTCTATTGTATGACAGGATACATAATCAAATAAGAATCCATACTCGTAAAAAGAAATGTAAAAGCTTTGCAATCCCTTATTTAGCCTACACTATGTGATGAAAACATCGTAAAATTAAAACCAATTAGAAACCTTAGTGGATAGAGATAAGCATTTGATGATCAGTATTGTAAATATTTCTAGTGACTTTTTAATTTTTATTACGTGCATAGATATTTGCTGGGAGAATAGAGAAACCTTGTTAAAATATTTTACCCTGAGTGTTGTTTAATGTATTGAACAAAAAGAGTTGAATAGAGCGATGGTTACTACACTTAACTATTCGTCTTGAACATTTTATACATGCAATTAAGTGTTTTAAAGGTACTGTTATTAAACAATGAACTCCGCCTGGAGTCCCTCCGGGGGCTACTGCCGGTCCCAAGTCCGAATTAGGAAGGAGGGTCGGACAGGGGGTTAGCGGCTCTATCCCGTAAAAAAATAAATCGCTAAAAAAACGCCAACCAGAGAAAACTGTTCAAAGCATTTAAACTTTGTCCTGGGAGTCAGAAGGTCTTCATTTAGAAGAGTCATGACGCCTCGTGATCAAAGCCGAGTTCCTTCGGAAGTCACGAGGCCGATGCCCATTCTGACAACCAGAGCAACCATTTACTTAGGTACATGGAATGCTCGTACAATATGGGAGACTGAGAGAGTCTACCAAATTGCTGCAGAAATGAGGAGATACAACCTAGAGGTGCTTGGGATCAGTGAAACACATTGGACGCAAGTTGGACAACAACGACTAGCTTCAGGGGAGCTTCTGTCATACTCCGGCCATGAAGAAGAAAATGCCCCACATACACAAGAAGTTGCATTGATGCTGTCCAAACAAGCACAAAATGCACTTATAGGATGGGAATCTCATGGACCAAGGATCATCAAAGCCTCGTTTAAAACAAAGAAAGAGGGCATTTCAATGAGCATCATCCAATGATATGCGCCTACCAACGACTACAATGAAGACGCTAAAGATCAATTCTACAATAGGCTGCAGTCAATCGTCGAGAAGTGCCCAACAAAGGACCTGACCATTCTGATGGGAGATTTCAACGCCAAGGTTGGAACGGACAACACTGGATATGAAGACATCATGGGACGACACGGACTGGGAGAAAGAAACGAAAGTGGTGAGAGATTTGCAAATCTATGTGCCTTCAATAAACTGGTCATAGGCGGCACCATATTCCCACATAAAAGCATACACAAAACCACATGGACTTCACCGGATCACACTACACAGAACCAAATCGACCATATTTGCATCAACAAAACGTTCAGGAGGACTATAGAGGACGTGAGAAACAAGAGAGGAGCTGATATAGCATCAGATCATCACTTGCTGTTCGCCAAGATGAAATTGAAACTTCAGAAGCACTGGAAAACGGAGTGGACAACATCACAAAAGTTTAGTACGGCATTTCTTCGGGATACTGACAAACTCAACAAATTCAAGATAATCCTCAGCAACAAGTTCCAGGCCTTTCATGATCTACTCAATGGAGAGGGAACTAGTATGGAGAGCAACTGGAAAGCAATCAAAAAGGTAATCACTTCAACATGTCATGAGGTTCTGGGCCACAAGAAGAACCACCACAAGCAAATAGTTGTCACCATAATGTTGACCGCTGAGTGGTCTAGAGCTTAAACACTTCAGTGGCTAAACTGAAGTTCCAAGTTGTGGGGCCGTTGGTACGTGTTTCTGAAGAATACCATACGGGGACAAAACGAATGTCCAATATTTCCAAATGTAAAGAAACGGCCTTGATGAACGACCTACATACCTAGCTCTACATGAGCAGGTGAACTGGTATACGAACATTCAGTTAGTCAGCCTTGGTAACTTTTCTTTCACAAACGGACACATAAGAGAACAATCATAGCAGTTTATATGAAAATTTGATGCGTTATATGTCTTTTTATGTCGTTTACTCTGCAGGTGGTCTTTTAGTATATCACCAACAATACTTTATCAGGTTTACAAACAGTGACTTTTTGACCAGTAGACTTGATTTGTAAAGGCTGTATCTTCAGATTTCTCTCCATATATCTTGACGAATACCCATTCTCTAGAAAAGCAGATTATGAACTGGAAATTTCATTCTTTAGACGGTCTGGTGAAGAAATTTTACGATATCATGAGCATAGGCAGTTACCGAGACTTCATTTCCTAATTATTGAGAACTAAGAGTGAAAATATATCAATTTTCCGTTCCAAGGTGTATTGCACATAGATATTTTTAGTGATCCACCATTTCTTTTGGTAAATAGGACATCCAGGAAGGAAGTTTTCACTCACATTCCTTCTCCACTATAAATCTGAGTGATGGATCTGACTTCTTAAAATATTCGAGGATATCGTCGATCCGAAACTTTTCATTACGTAAGTCATCGACAAGTCTCCCATACAAACGTTTGTTTCTACAAAATTATAAGACGACAACAAAAGTTATGTCCTCAAATACTGAAACAGCTTCGAACTGTGTAATAAATGTAATCATTACGTTTTCCTTGAAAAATGTTGGCTCATGATTGATCGGGAATATCAGGCAATTTAACTTTGAGGAATCAAGTGTCTGAACATGCTTAACATCATTTTTCTTAAGTTTTGTTAACCTGTGAAAGCTAGTGACTGGGGAATTTGTTGGTCGCGCTATCCACGAACCAAACGAAATATCCGACTTCTTATCAAGCAAGGAGTATAATGAACAGGTCATTTTTCATTGCTTTAAAAGTGAGAAATGTGGCTAGTGAATACACATACAAGCGCAGATTCTATGTTTTTCTCAACAGATTCTTACTAACTATACCTCATATATATTGAAGCCATAGAGGGAGCAGTGATGTTACACATGAGTACTATTTGAAGGTAATCAGTCGTTCGCTGAATCTATGGTTTTTTATCAACCGATAAAGTTAGAGCGCTTTATGCATGTTTAAACATCCAGATCCATGTAATATGCGAGAAACCGTGTAAGTGGTTTAGAGAAAAATGAGTTGACATAGCACAGTCTCACTATATTACAAGGTTTTTTTCTACGTATTTGATTCTTGTAAATAAATAACCTGCTTATAAACGACAGTATCTAGTAAGCGTTAATAGCATGAAAAGCAGTTCTAAGTGGCTGCAAAAATGTAACAAAGTTGAAGTATAGATAACACGAGACTAACCTGGACTATTTTCCTAACTCTTGTCTGAGAAGTAGCTTCATCACACAACACATGGCACTCTCCGATAGCAGACTCAACCAGACTTTGAAAACTGTGAGGAGACGTCAAAACCGGGTGGCCAAAAAGTCCTATATGATTAAAAATATTGATATTATGCAAAAGATACCTGTCGTTTTGCTTAAATGTTCATCCTTTGTTTTTAAACTATGGTAATTAAAAGCATCGGCTAATGGACTCAATTTAACACGCGTAGACAGTAAGTTCCGATTAACGTAATTGAAACTCCGAAATAACGGTAGGTGAAACCAAACCATGAAGCAGTTACAAACGGAATGACTCTATGCAGGGCAATCAAATCGGACACTAAGTTTATATCACAGAGAGAGAATAGTAACTAAAATCAATGAGGAAAAAACAATTTAGAACAAACGTGTATTTTCATGAAAGACATTTCGCTTAAACTACTGAGTGTGATTCTAAGATGAAACTCGCATCAACTATATATATATGTAACCAGAGAAATTAATGAGCCCGATAAGACTTGGCTCCTACTAGAATAAATTATGTACATGTCATGCACACTAAAATGGGAGAATGCAAAGCGATGGTGCAACTTAGTAACAGATTGAGAGTTGGTGTGCTAAGTCTTAACTTACAGTAGGAAAAGTTCGAAATTATAAATTATTGCCAACAAGCATTACTGGTTTGCACCATGATGGTGATATTGGTTTTCGTAAACGTGAAGAACCTAAAAGAGTTACTGAAACAAACCACTCGCATGGCAGATTACCAGTCATCCCGGGATTCACTAAACTTTTGGCTAGGTCTCGATACCTACATCTGGTGATAAATGTACATTGGTAACGTGACCATCGAAAAGTGCGCAGACCTTGGTTTCAAATGGTTCAAATGGTTGTGGATGGAATAGAAGAAGCTTTCGCTTAACAGGCTTCCGTGTCTAGTAGCAGGGGATCACCAAGTCCTCCAGGCAGGAACCTAGGTATGTTAACAATAAAAGAGGAAAAGAAATTGGCAAATCATAGTGTGCTGCTGTTCTTGGTCCTTAAGAATAGGTCAAGTTGCCTCTTGAAGGATTCCTGAGAAGTCGCTTGGACTAGCTCGGCCGGCAGCGAATTCCAGTTTTTGACAACTCTTAAGGAGTAGAAGTTATGTCTGCATTCCGTTTTGCTATGTTGTGTCTCCAGTTTCTGGGTGTTACCCCTTAGGTTATTATTCGAACTAAGCTTAAGTAGGTGTTTAAGAGGATGTCCAGAAGTGTTAAGGATGCTATAAGCCATCAGAAGATCACCTCTAAGACGCCTATACTCTAATGAGTAAAGGTTAAGCGAATGGAGGCGCTCTTCGTAAGGTTTAGATTTGAGTCCTCGAACTGATTTCGTGGCTCGCCGTTGGATACGCTTCAAAGTGACCTTGTCCTTTTGGAGTGAGGAGGGAGTACTATGTTTCCGTACTCTAAATGGGGACGGATGAAACTATTGAAGATTGTATGGAAAGTTCGTCCGTCAAACTGTCCAAAAATGCGCTTCAACGTTACCAGTGCAAGGTTTGCTCGGAAGGCATTTTTGTCACAGTTAGCGTAAGACCTTAAATCATGGGGCACCAGGACTCCTAAATCTTTTTCGACTTGGGATACTACTAGAGAGAAGTTTCACAAGTTGTAACTGTAGTTTGCGACATGTCGCAGATGGACTACTTTACACTTTGAAGTGGTAAAGGTAAGTCAGTTATCGCCTGCCCAACTTTGAAGTCGAGTCAGATCCTCCTGAAGTGCATGTATATCGTCTTGGCTGCGTATCTCTCTCCAAAGTTTAACGTCGTCGGCAAAAAGCAATAAATCTGACGTTACCTGTTGAGGAAGATCGTTTATGTAGATCAAGAAGAGAAGAGGCCCTAGTACTGAGCCCTGGGGGAGCTTTCAATTTGGTACGCGTGAGCTTCATCCTGTTTTTCTGTATGAGCCTTATGTGAATGGACAGGTAGCCCACCTATATGAGGTTTGCCGAGGTGGTAGGCCCTGTCCTTTACACGTTTTTTTATCATTTAGACAGTCCACAAGTGGAATGGTCAGCTCCAACTCGCCTTTATGCTTGGTCCTAGCTTCATATGGCCTATCCGGGTGCATGTGGATTCCAGGTGGCAATGGACGTCTGTTGGCACGAAATGCTTCCAGAACTGCAGCCGCCATGTGGGAAGATGGGAAGGTTATCTTCATTAGACGGGGTCTAGGATCACCGTCCTTCTTGGCTAGTCTCGTCACATGCTGAGTCAGTATGTGTTTGAGCCTCAAGGACTGTTTGATGAATTTCCATTCCCTGATGTCAGAATTTGATTGAGTAGGGTCTGCACTTTCCGGTATACCTTGCACAATTATGTTTCTTTCGCGGAAAAACTTCTCGCGAGATTCTTTACGGGTGTTCCGTATGATATTGCGCTCAGAGTACGGTATGTCGGGCAATATTCTTACGTTACCATCTGATTTCAGCAAGTGGCTTGCTAGCAAGACGTCCTCTACGTCGGTAGCATTCTTAAGTGTTACTCGGAGAAGCCTCGGGTGATTTAGATGATTAGAATCCTTTCCTCGAGTGAGCCGGGTGACCGTCAAAGGCTCTATTCTAGGAAGTTCGAGCTTCTTGTTCAATTCACCCCAGAGCATCCTGTCATTTTTGTCCTGCAGACTGGGAGGAAGGTCAGGATCGTCAACGAATGGTTCTGAGTGGAATAGAAGAAGCTACTACTTAAAGGGCTTCCGTATCTAGTAGCAGTGGATCACCGATACCTAAAGGGAGGAACCCAGGTATATTATCGATAAAAGAGGAAAAAGAAAAAAAGGTTGGTACATCATAGTGAGGTACTATCCTTAATCTTTAGGAATATGTCAAGTTCTCTCTTAAAGAACTCATGAGAAGTCATTTAAACTAGCTCGGCTGGCAGCGAATTTCAACATTTGACTACTCTTAGGGAGAAGGTGTTGTAGAATTATGGTCTACTACATGATGTAGAACAAGGTTAGGCTAGAGAAAGAACAATATATTTAATATGAATAGAAGATATAAAGTAACATTGAGATGGACCACGCCTGCATGGCCGAGTCATGCCATACGATCAACTCCAGTCCATTCAATTCATTGTTCGCGCCTTCTCCATCGTTAGGTATTTCTCCGCGTTAAATATTGAATATCTATTTCCTGAGTAGTCTCGTGTTCACAGCTTTGTGGATTGTGTGGCTATTGTCCAATGCCACTACAGTGTATCTACAGTCCGTTCTGCTATGCTGTGTCTCCAGTTTCTGGGTGCTACCCTGAAGTTTTGTGTTGGGACTAATCTGAGGCAGGTATTTAAGGAGATGTCCAGAAGTGTTAAGGATACTGCGGGTCATTAAAAAGTCACATTTAAAATGTCTGTATTCTGATGGGTAAATGTTCAATAATTGGATGTGCTCTTCATAGGACTTGAATTTGACTCCTTGAACTGATTTCATGACTCGCCATTGGATACATATCAGAGTGTCCTTGTCTTTTTGGATTGAGTGGGTAAATACTCTGTTTCCGTACTCTAACAAGGCGACTAATAAAACCTTTGAAGATTATGTGAAAAGTCCTTCCGTTGAACTGTCCGAAAATGCTCTTCAACGTTACCAATGCAAGGTTTGCTCGGAACACATTTTCTAGCAGTTGGTGTAAGACTTCAGATCATAGGGTGTCAACGATCGCAGATCTTTTCAACTTCGGATACCTCTAGAAGGGGGTTACCTAAGTTGTATTCGTAGTTTGCAACGTGTCTCAGATGGACTGCTTCACACTTCAAAATGTTAAGTGCAGGTCCGTTGTTATCTCCCCAACTTTGGAGTCGAGTCAAATCCTTCTGAAGTGCCAGTTTATCCAATTGGTTGCATACTTCTTTCCAAAGTTTCACATCATCAGTGAAAAGTAATAAATAGAGCAAGAACAAACATTGATGCAGAATAGTATGAATTCATATTATTTCGAGGTTTCTCGTCAGCTGCTTACAAACCAAAATTGTGATTGAATTTTTTACATGGAGATAGTGTGAAAACAATTGACATAAGTGAGTGTAAATAACTTGATTACAATAATAACTATATATATATATATGCTAGAAACAGGTCAGAGGTCAAAAGAGGGGGTTTAATCCAGGGTGGGTGGTGTAATAATTTAGTGAAGTTCATAAATTGTGTGATAATTGTAGAGATTGATGGAATTAAATAATGATAAGGTAGATTACGTAGTAATAATAATAATTAACAGAGATGAATATATCAATAAGGTAATGACCATTTTAAATAACTCCACCAGATTTATCATTGACAATACCCAGAAAGACTTAACAGATGCGACAGAGAAACGTGTCTTAAGAAAGTTGAGAGAACTTGTTAAGAAAAATCTAATAGATAACGAACCAAAAGGGTCACAATTTCCATACTTATATGGGCTACCCAAAACACATAAACCCGACGTCCCTATAAGACCAATATTGTCGATGGCCAAATCACCTTTCCATAAACTTGCGCGCTGGCTTACTAGATGCTTGGAACCAATCCGCAAAAAACTAGCAGCCTACAGTTTGAAAGACAGCTTTGAATTTGTACAAAAACTTGATAACCTTAATGTCTCTGACAAATTCATGGTTTCATTTGATGTCTCTTCGCTTTTCACAAATATCCCCTGGAAGAAACGGCAGAGATCATATGTGAATATCCAGAACTCCTGCCTTTACCACCCCAGGAATTTAAACAGCTCCTGTTTTTGTGTACAAAAAACATACAATTTAAATTTAACAATGTTCTGTACCGACAGATTGATGGAATAGCAATGGGCAGCCCTCTAGGCCCAATTCTTGCCGACATATTTATGGGACATCTGGAACAAAAGAAACTGAAGCACGCAATCGACAGTACCACACTCTACTGCAGATATATGGATGACACGTTCCTTGTCTGCAAAAATCACCAACACTCCATGTACCTACTTAGTCTGTTCAATAAAGTACACAAAGATATAGAATTTACCATGGAACATGAAGTTGATGATAAATCCCATTTCCTAGATATTGGAATTAGGCGAACATCAGACGGGACACTACAAAGACACATTCACCGCAAAAATACTTGGAGCGGAGTTTATCTCAACTTTAACAGCTTCTGTCCAATGAGCTATAAAAAGGGTATTGTGCGAAACCTTTTTGACCGCGCACGAAAAATCTGCTCAAAAGAATGCCTCGAAGAAGAAATTACTACAATCACCAAATGCCTACGTGAAAATGCATATCCGGATAAATTCATCCACAAATATGCTAATACAAACCCTCCGATTAAGCATGATACGGTGGAAAAGAAAACCTGCTTCCTATCCTTACACTTCAAAGGAGATGAAGTCGCCGGAATTATCAATCACAGAATTAATTCCGCTTTAAAAGTGACCTACCCGGCAGCCAAAGTGACTACGTTATGGAAAACATACTGTTCACTGAAACAAACGAAAATCGACAAGTCCTCTCCCCTCAGTTGCTCCAACTGCATTTACCAATTCACATGTACGTGCCGTAGCACATACATTGGAAGAACTGAGAGAAGAGTACAGGTTCGCATTTCTGAGCATATTCCGAAGAACTTGACGCTGCGAGGGACTAAAGCTTTTAACAGTGCAATAGCTCGGCATCTACTTGACACCGGGCATACCGTCGATATTATGCACGCGTTTAAAATTATCAATAGACAAAGAACTACTACCACTCTCCGCTTTGCTGAAGCCATTGCAATTAAGAAACTGAAACCGGACTTATGCATCCAAAACGAGACTTTAATAAACTTATCTCTACCCTGGTAATCCTTTTGTTTCTGTTTGT